AAATAAATAAATAAATAACTTTTATATTGTGTGTCGAAAGATTGACGTAGGCAGTAACTCAGTAGTTTTGATTTTTGCTCTGGAAAGAATATTTAATTAGAAGTACATTCAAATTAGTACTGAAATAGCGCTCTATATGCAACGTTTTAAACAAATATACAGTTGCTTTACCAGAAAAAATATTTCTTACCTCACAAAACAGGGATTTAGACTGTCCTTCATTGTGTTTGTCTCCAGGACCCAGGCAGAGATGGGTCATACATGCCGAGGCACCATCAACTTGGCCACAGCCAATATTGCTGTGGAGGACTCGTGCAATTTTGTCATTTCCAACGGAGGGGCGCAGACCTACCACCTGAAGGCCAACTCAGAAGTAGAGCGCCAGCGGTGGATCACTGCTCTGGAGCTCGCCAAGGCGAAGGCTGTCCGCATGCAGGCTGAATCTGGTGAGAGGGAAAACATATTTGTTGGAGAATGCAGGAGTTTCTGTGTAAGGCGTTTTGTCATATTATCTCCTTTGTTCTCTCACTCAGATGACTCGGGTGACGATTGCCCTGCAGTGCCCCCCACCTCAGGACAGGGTGGAGGCTGCCGTAACTCTAACTCAGAAGTCCAGTCCACTCTACGCACACTAAACAGCAAGGTGGAGGACCTCACCACCTGCAACGATCTCATTGTCAAGCATGGGTCTGCCCTCCAAAGGTATCGGTTTTCAGACTGAGTGGTTTTATTACATCAGGAAAAAGAAAATAAGGGGTAATTTATTTATTTTCTTTGCCTGTTTATTTGTTCCTTCTTCAATTCATTGCTTTATTCCACACACAGGTCTTTGTCAGAGCTGGAGGGGATTCGTGTCGGAGGGGACATGGGGGATAAGATCAGACAAGTTACAGAGAGAGCCACGCTGTTCAGAATCACCTCTAATGCCATGATCAATGTAAGACACCCAATTAATTAATAGCTGAGGAAGGCACATTGTTGCTTACTGTTTTGCTGAATGTTGCTCTGGTTTTGGCATATTTCCCAAGGCATGTAGAGACTTCCTCTCCCTGGCCCAGAGCCACAGTAAGCGCTGGCAGAAGGCTTTACAGGTTGAACGAGACCAGAGGATACGACTGGAGGAGACTCTGGAGCAGCTCGCCAAGCAGCACAACCATTTGGAAAGAGCTTTCAGAGGAGCCACAGTTCTCCCGTCTTCATTCAGCAACCCTGCCTTAGGAAACAAAGGTAAGGCTCCCATCACTTCCTGAACGTCTCTCTTGGGACCCTTGAGCTTACTCAAAGCATGGCTGCACCAATCAGAACTGTCTTCCTTCACATTAGGCGGTGTGCCAGGAAAAGGTGATGCCAGTGACGAGGATGATGACAATGAGTTCTTTGATGCTATGGAAGACCCAGCAGAGTTTATCACTGTCCCTGCTGACCCCAAGTATCACAGGTTATTCGCATTTCTAAAAAAAAAATCTTTTTAATCTGAGTTTTGTTTTTTGTTGTTTTTTTTTTGTTGTTTTCTCTCCTTTTCTACTGTTTTGTTTCAGTGTTATGCTTTCTTGTTTGTCCATTAGAAGATCTGGCAGTAACGTCAGTGGGATCAGCAACGAGACTGGAATGGATGATCAGTCGGTAAATGTGTGTTAACTTTGTTTTTGCAAGCAAGATTTGTGTTGACTTGTCTTCTCGTCTGCTTGACACCACAGTCACCTGACCCTGAAGGCCGTTTTCCGTCTTTTCTTTCAGTTTGATGAACTATCTTTGGCATCCAATCCAGAGTCTCCACAGTCCCTTGAGCTGGAGCCAGTTCGACAAAGACGGACTCGTATCCCTGACAAGCCCAACTATTACCTCAATCTGTGGAGCATCATGAAGAATTGTATTGGAAAGGAGCTCTCAAAAATACCAATGCCTGTAAGAAAACCTTCCCTCTTGTTGGTATCCAAGTGGCTTTTTCTTTGTGAGAGTAATCAGAAGTAATTGGACTTCTTCTCTTTGTGACTTTGTAGGTGAATTTCAATGAACCCCTGTCAATGCTGCAACGTCTATCTGAAGACCTGGAGTACTACGAGCTGCTGGATAAGGCTGCTAAATGTCAGAGCTCCCTAGAGCAGATGTGTTACGTGGCCGCTTTCACTGTCTCTTCCTACTCCACCACTGTCCACCGTACAGGAAAACCTTTCAATCCTCTGCTGGGAGAAACCTTTGAGCTCGATCGGCTAAAAGAGTGCGGCTACCGCTCCCTCTGTGAACAGGTACGTGGAATACACACTTGAAATTGTTTGAAATTGTTTAAAATTGTAACCAGCTGTGAAAAGGAAGCATAACAAGACGTAACAAGTGACTTTTGCAGATTGTAGTCGCTCCTGTTCAGACTGAAATTTTGTGTCACATTTATGTTTGACCTAATTGCAGTTCTAAAAATAAACACGCTTGAAAGTGTGTTAATGCTGACGTGTATTTGACTTTGCTATCTTCTCGCTCTCTTCTTTTCACTCACCTCTTCTCAGGTGAGCCACCACCCACCTGCTGCAGCTCACCATGCCATGTCTGAGAAGGGCTGGACCCTCAGACAAGAAATTACCTTGGCCAGCAAGTTTAGAGGAAAATATCTCTCTATCATGCCTTTGGGTGAGTGTGCTCAGACCAAATATCAAATTTCTTGTTGCTGTGGTTGATAAATACACGCACAGCAAT